ACAGAAGCAGGGTGGTGATGGCTCACACCTTTAAATAATCACGGCCCAGGAATATAAGGCAGGTAGAGACAGGAATATAAGGCAGGTAGAGACAAGAATATAAGGCAGGTAGAGACAGGAATATAAGGCAGTGGAGACAGGATCTCCAGCCCTTTCAGTCTGAGGATCCAGAGAGGTAAGAAGTCACTAGTGGCTGTTCCTTTGCTTCTCTGATCTTTTGGTTATTTCCTCGATATTTGACTCCTGGTTTTTACTGGTAAGACTGATTAAGATCATGCTTTAGGAAAGAACTAACAGTAATAATATACATGATGTTAAGGGCTTGGGGTAAGCACACTTCCTGCCAAACTGATGACCTGAGATAATTTCCAGGTACATGGTGGACGGAGAATCCACTCCCAAGCATTGCTCTCTGACCATTGCATGCACATTCCAACGCCCACCAGAGATAAACATAATAAAAAACAACTATATTAGAAAGCAAAGTGAATCTAAACTCATTTCAATTCAGAGCGCTTCAAAGAATCTTCTGATAAAGTACATGTAACAAAAGCAATGTGTAGCTTTGTATGTACATGTGTTACTCATGGTTGCCTAGGACCTGTTGTGAATTTTTATAGGCAAACAATCAATATTGTTTTCATACCAACTGTTCTGAGGCCACAAGTTTAAGGAACTTTTTGATGAAGTCAATGAGTCCTTGGATGGTTCGGGTTCGCTCTACAGCCCATTTCTTTGTTTTCATGATAGGGGTATCTCCTACAGCCTTTAGCAGGATATCAACTTAAAAAAAAAAAATATTGAAACATCTGATGAGAATGTGATGTGAAACAGTTCAGAACACAAACTTTTTATCTACATGTTTTATGTAATTATTATTCTGGAGCTATGTTGGAGATATAAAGATATTAGACTCTTCTCCACTATTTTCCTTCTTGACCGTACAAAGTTCTTCCTAAGGGATTAACATTTTGACATAACAGAATTCTAAAGATAAGAAATCAATCTGGCCCATGATATAAAACAATGCCCAAACAGTCAACTAAAAAACTCATACATTTTTCACCTACCAAACTGGTGGTAATAGGGTGGCAGTGCCAGGAATGCTGCTCTTGCCACTTTAACATGGCATAGCTTTCTGGAAAGCAATATGGTAATACCTATCCGATACTTGAAGATACACCTTGACTCAGTAATATACTACTTAAAATCTAAAAAACCTTGAGATTTATAAAGATTCATGTAGAAGGATGTCACCATCAAAGCATTTATTTTTATAGGAAAAAAGCAGTAAATTTACATATTCAACACATATATGTAGAAGGGATTAAATGAAATATGTTTTATGGCAGACTTTATAGAAAAATGACACATTATTCCAATCTGGGTCCAAATGATGGTTCTGTCTCTTGTAGATCTATAAGCACGGCAATCTTTCATTCTCAAATCCCTGTAACAGCACCTACCTCAGAGGGTTGATAAGAGGAGTAAGTCAGTTAATGTAAACAGTACCCAGAGCATAACTTGTACTAATAGAACCTTAAGATTATTAAATAGCTGTTCAAAAAACACATTATAAAAGCAGTTAATAGTTTAAGAAGTTGACAAAAGGTGCAAAATAGACTGTGTATATAACCCCAACTTCATTAAGAAAGTATCACACACACATTCACAATAATATAGAGGATACATCAAAATGTTACTTCATAGTAGTGACATATGGCTTTTTGTAAACATGAAATTTTCTATACTTAACTTTTTAGTGAAAAAACAAAACAAAAACCCCAAAACTATAACCTTAAAAAAAAATACAATCAGGGGCCCCAAAGAAGTTTCAAGGGGAGAAGTAACATTTCAAGGATTCAAAACACAGATATGTGAACCAAGACTGAGCTCTTTAATGAAGGTTAATTCCCTCAAGAGACACCTACGACCAAAGCTGCCCCAAAAGTGGCTATCACACTCTTGCCCCATTTGTTTGGTATTCAAAGTTGGGATCAATTTATTCAAGTTTAGTTTCCTCCTGACACCAGGTGTGGCAATATACACCTTTAATTCTAGCACTCAGGAAGCAGAGGCAAAGGCAGGCAAATTTCTGGGAATTTGAGGCTAGCCTGGTCTACAGCCTGAGTTCCAGGAGATCAAGTTTCTTCCTGAAATGAAATATAGCCATCTAGAACATACGATGCAGCTTATCTTCCTGGAAAAGAACTCTGTAAGTGTCCTTTCAGTTAATTTGGGAATAAGACTGAGTGAGGAAGGCATAAAGGTGATTTTGGTTAGCCTATCTTTCATACCTTCCTCCCCAGTTCCCTCAACCCCCTGGAGCAATCAATAACTAGGCAGCAATTAGGCACTGAGTTGTACTACTACTAAAGAAAGAAGAGCCAGAGGGCAAGAAGCTAGAGATGTAGTAATTTATAGTAATTATATAGTAATTACAGCTGCAGTCTTAATTCCCAAAATGACTTGCTTACCAGCAAGTTACTCAGAACCCTGACTACACATTGGAGTCACCTGGAGAACAGTTAATATACACAGCAATCGAAATCTTTTGCAAAGTAAGACCTTAGCATGGGCATTCAAAAGTTTGGCCGGGGAAGCCTGTAATACTGTGCCACCAGGGCCAGCCAATAACCTGTTTCAGCAATCCTTCTGTAAATTACAGTGGAAATGTGAAATATCTCATCATCAAATTGTCTACAAAAAGATATTTGTCAAAAAGAAAAGAAAATATGGAGACCCAAATAAACAGTCACCTCAGGCAGTATCTTGGATTATGGGCCATTTCTAGTTTTTTTTGTTTGTTTGTTTTTTGTACAGCAATCATCAGTGTGAAGGACTAAAGCTTTGACTTAAACAGAATTCTTTTGTTTTTATTTTTGGCCCGGGCTGGTCTTGAACTCACAGAGATCTGCTTGCCTCAGGCTTCTGAGTGCTGGGATTAAAAGTGCATGTCACCACTCTCAGCCTGGTGCTTCCATCTTAAAGGAAACCTTTGAAAGTCAGCTGGATACGGCTAACTGGAAGAAAAAAAATGTTAGGATTTTTTCCCCCCTAAATTGACAGTGGTTATCTGTTCAAATACTCAGTACAGCATATATACATGGCAGATTCCCTTCCAACGCAGAGTCAGTCTGTTTTTTCTTTCTTGATGAGCTGGGAGTTGAACCCCTGGACCTTTTGTAGTATTCTAATGCTGAGCTACATACACCTGCAAACCCCTGGAGCAGTGCTGGGAGACAATTCTCCTCCCATGCAGCATCAACAAATTGGTGAGATTAAGGAGCAGAACACACAACTGGATCTACAGTTTATGACTCCAGAAAGGAGAACATGAGGACAAGGTCCATCTTTTCCACTGATACATGTTTATTCGCTGGTTTTTCTTATAGTCAATTCTAACTTTACAGTGTTCGGGGCAAGTTAACCTGAACTTCCTTACTTTCCAGTGGCAAACACATCCCTAAGGCAACACAGAGGTTGAGGGCAACAAGTTAAAGAAATTCAATGTCGCACAGAGGAACGGTCCCCATCCCAAATAAATAAAAAGTTAATAAAACGGCAACACCTATGCCTTTAGTTTGTCCTCAGCATTCTTTACAGTATCTGAAGCTCCAGGTTTTTTGTTCTAAAGAATGAACTCATATTCAGCTGGAGGGGGACGCCAATAGCGAACTCGTCAGAATTCGTGGATTGTAACGCACTTTTGCTGTCACCTTAAATTTTTATTCCAGTAAGTACTCTTGCGTTAAGTACCTGGAGCTACCGAGATCTCGCTCCGCTCCCACCTTCAAAATGCTCAAAGACCAGACGCTGTAAAAGGTGCGAAGGATGGCGAACCCGGGTACCACCCGGGTCACCTAGGCACGCAAAAGGCGTGAGCACCAGGAAGTACTTGTGCTCGGTTTCCAGAGGCGCACCTCTGGGGCGCGCCCTTCTCTCGCTTTTGCTGCTTGATGGGCTGTCACTCTTAGGAACGCTATTAAACCTCCAGCCTCCGCCCACAAACGGATGTTGACATTACTTTTTTTCTTGGTGTCACCAGGAGGCTCCTCCGTCCCCGGCGAGACTGCGGCCGAAGATGGGGGCTCCGGGGTGGCTGTTTCGGGGGAGAGCTCCGAAAGGCTCTCGCCACCGGCCGCGGCCGCCGAGGAAGGGAGCTGAAGCACAGCCTCGGGACCTTCCGCCATCTCGCCCGCTGAGAGTCGACGGCGGAAGTGACGCAGCGGCGCAGAGGCTGGGCCTCGCTCCCCGGAGCGTCGCAAAGCAGGCGCCGGGTGTATGTGGGGGGAGCCCGAGCCAACAGCGAACTTCGGGGCGTCTGGAGAGCATCACGCGCAGACGCTCCGTTGGAAACACAATGCTTAAGGGAGCAACGAGTGCCGTCTAGCCGCAGCGAGCTTCCGGAATGCTTCCGAGACGAGCCTCCGTGCGCCACCCGCTGAACCGGGACACCCCCCGCCCCCTCCGGCGAGTTGGTTCCGGCCCGGGGCCGCTTCCG